AAATGCTGGGTTGCTAGATAGTCAATTGTGACGGCGCCGGGATTTAGTAATATCAATTATTATTCTGATTCATGTTCGTGTAGTTGAAAAATGAATGGATCCTTGAGAGTGCATTCGTCAATACTGCTCCGTGTGCAGGACATCTACTAATATTTATAGGGTAGCACTATGAAGGAACGATATTTGGATTTAATGAGCATTAATTTTGTATAATTTTACGTACTTTAATTTAAGACAACGTACACTATATGAGTTATGATCATATGGGTCCAGTATGTGACAGATAAGATATGGGATAATAATTAATATTTATAATGGATGATTGAATTATAATAATTCCAATTTGGACATTTATAACATACTATTACCTCCATGTATATTTTTGCATTGTGTTCCGGGGTCGAAATTAAAAAACATGATAAGCTAGTTATCAAATAATTGTTTCTGATTTTTGATCTAAACAGATATTACAGATTACTGCTCTACTAGCATATCATCTTGTATTTGGAGACACAAATATGTTTAAAACTGAACTTTTTTTCCCCAGTGAAATAATAATATTGCACTAGACTGAAAAATATAGCATATACAAATTGGGATATTTTAAAAATTAAATTAAAAAAAATTATTGTCTCAATGGGCAACCAGTTTCAAGATTTGGTTGTCTTGTTGAATAAAGAATTGTCAATGGCAAACAGACAAGCACTGATTTTTTTACCTAGGTTACATGTGTCATAAATATATTTATTTATTGACACAACACTAACTACTAGTAAGGCCTCAAATATAGAAGGTAAAAAAAATGAATATGTAACGGGCAATACCTGGTGAAGGAGCACAACAGAGCAATTGATTTACTATAAATAGAACTGATATTACCATAATTCTTAGAAGCATGCGTTGAGACATTGAGTTATTATTTCACTAGTGATTTGAGTTGGATTTAAGATGGTGTCATGCTTGACTTGTGTGTCACTGCACCTCAAAATGGCTTGAAACTTAATTCAAAGTAAAACTATTTTCAGTTCATTGCCAGAAAACAATTGCCTTATCATTAAACAAGGCGACGTTTTGTTAATTAGGAATGAGTTGTCTCTCTTCACACAATTTGTGAAACAACAAACAAAATTGACCAGAAGTGCACTGTTTTCAAACTCTTAAGATTTCATTCATACTTTCCTATATATACATATATATACAGAGAGAGAGAGCTGGTCTTGCCAGTGGACATTCAGACAATTTTGCTGGGCATGCTATAAAAGAAAAGAAAGAAATAAAAAGTAAAACAAATAAGGCCTCACAAAAATGTTTGCAGGTTTAATGACTTCATCAACAGAGGGCGCTGATCAAAAACTTAATTTTTGTTATTAGGCCTAATGTAAATAAATGTCAACCATACAAAAACTACCTTGTATGCATTTACAACTGTAGCAACTGGAATTCCTACAGTTGTCTCTCATTAATATTTTGAATTTATCATTGTCTGGCAAGTTTACAAAATTGGTAGCATGTAGCATGGACAATTTATTATCAAACAAAATATGTCTTGTTGAAAGTACATAATATTTTGAATTGAAACCATATTGAGTTTAATTTTTTACTGCACACCTTGCATATCTTGCACTCAGTCACAGTTCTCGGAAATGTGAAATGTTCACTCTTCATTAGTGGGACCCAGTCCTAAAACAGGGACTTATGGATTGACCTCTGTGTGTGCGTCCGTGTGTGCATCTGGACATATATCTTGGACATGCCTGGACTGATTATATTTAAACTTCACATATCCGGTACATCATACATACCGGTGATATTATACATATGCACATTAATTTGTTTCACTATCTGATTCAAGATGGCCGAATGGCAGCCATTTATGTGCTAAAAATTCATGAAAATAAAGCATTTATGACATTCCAAAACCTTGTTTCTGTTCTATATCTGCTGATTTTATTCAAACTTGGTACATACTTTGTTTGTCAGATCAGACTCAAAATGACCTTCTGGTGACCATTTTGTTTTAGTGCATGCAGTTTTTGAGCCATATTTTTGACATTCACTGACTGTTCATGTTCAAACTTTATGTGCATCGTATTTCTTAAACTTGAGAACTCACAGAGACTATGTAATGCAGTTACTTGTTATGTTATTTCTGTAACGTATATATAATATTTCCAGTGCTTCAGATGATGTTGCAGTTAAAATGTAAGAAAAATACTACAAATATAACTTCATTAAATCAATTCACATGAAGAACTATCAACTTTGTAAACATTTGTTTAAGATACACTTATATGACATCTTCATATTTAAACATAGAGGGATAGTCGTGTGCATGGTCCAGCATTCTAGGCTATACTACATGCTGATTTTGCTCATATATGTACCTATACTTCTTCTGTACCGTTGGTAAATCATAATAACAATAATGAACCCCAACATATCCATATTGGATTCAGAGTCATTTCTCACACTCAATAGAAGGTTAGATAGATGTTGAGTAAAATTCATTGAACAAGTCAGCAACATTTAGCTCACCAAATCAGATTCTTCATAAACAGTGAGCAAGATTTTCTCCTGAAACAGTTCATAAGTGTTGACCATTTAAAATTGACTTTGATGCCTTTAACATATACACATCAAAAACTGTTTGATTACACTTTTTTAGCTCTGCTGTTGACTTTGTCGAGCGGAGCTTATCATATGAGTGATTGTCCAGCGTCGTCCGTGTCAACTTTTTACATTTTCAACTTCTTCTTGAAAACTAAATTCTTATTGCTTTGATACTCGATGTATATATAGCTTGGGTAGACCTCTCTTAGATTTGTTCATTTCATGATGATATCTTTAATTTTCTAATTTTGATGAATATTTTTCTCATTTTTAGTAAAAACAACATTTTCGACTTCTTGTTGAAAACTACAAGTCTGATTGCTTTGATATTATATATATATATAGGTACTACATGTAGACCTATCTCAGATTGTTTATTTCGTGATAATATCCTCAATTCTCTAATTTTGATGAATATTTTTGTCAATTTTGGTAAAAAGTGATATTTTCAACTTCTTGTTGAAAAACATGAGTCTGATTGCTTTTAATATTATATACATACCGGTAGGTAATACATATAGACCTCTGTCAAATTTGTTCATTTCCTGATGATATCTTCAATTGATGAATATTTTTGGTAAAAAGTGATATGTTCGGCATCGCTAACAGCGACGCTATCTCAGTCGACAATGCTTGTTTTCAAAGAAGCAGTATATTTATTTCCATATCAAGTTTTAAAGAACTCAATAAAAATAGATATATAGATATTCAACAATAGTTATATAGGGACATTTTTCACCTTTTCACCACCAGACTTTCTCCCCCAAATTTTTCTGCATTTTTTTCTAATATTCTTCAAGAGACAAAATTTAATTCAATTTTCAGTTTTTACTCAAAAAAGTTGGCTACTTTTGTCCCAATCTTCTGAGTGCAGACTATAGACAGGATTATTTTGTAAATTTAAAGCCAAAAATACAAACAAAAAAAACATTATTTCTTGTCCTATGTAAAATGATGCAGTGATGCAGATTTTTTTATTAACATTATTCAATATCAGAACAACAGTTTATTATAAGATATTGATTTGAAGCAAAAAAAACATGTCCCCATTCTACCTATTCACACTTTACCAGTATGCAAAATTGCCCAAAATAAAAAATGATGAATGTGATGACAAGAAGAAAACCTGATATCAGGTCTAGTTTTTCAGAAAGCTTCAATCATAATTCTTTTTCGAAAATGTTCCTCTACAACTAAAGATACATATGCAGTGCAAGTTTATGAAAATTGTGAACTTCTGAGCAATATTAA